ACCCTAAGACTAATGAATATATTTATCTTAATTGTCTCATCACGCTCTGCTTACCGTATCATTTTTTTAAAAGGACTGCCGATGAGCCAAGAATTTCTAAGATTCTTGGTAGACCGTGAGTTAATGTTGCTATACACTAGTGAACCATGAAGTTGCACAGTGATGACCGAGAGTCAATAGTGATTTATCAGTAGTCCAAAAATAGTGAGGCACTACTGAACCGTGAGTTGCAGTGTGTTTTTGACCGAGAGTCAATCGCTATTTTCTTAATAATACTCGTAGCTTTAATATATTTATTGAAATAATTTGAAATACTAACCAACAACGCTTTATTATTGTAAGGATGAAAAAGATTTGTCGGAAGTGAATACTTTTTGGAATAATCGTGATATAGAACTAGAAAAGAAGAGAAAGCTCTGGCAGATAGAGTCTTCGGATGTAAGTGTGTAGAATTTTTCTCGCGCATTCGAATTATGAAATTGCCACTGACATGCTTCTATATATTTGCTAGTTGGACTATATATACACGAAGGACCAACAACTAGAAAAGCATATTAAGGTTATTCGAGAAAATAGGACGACAGTTGAGCAAACCAAAAGTCAGCTTCCTAAGGTAAAGAGAAATTTTGTATCAGATAACATTCTGTATCTTTTTAGCATCTGCCTTTGCAAATTGATTCATATAAAGTATATCACTCTATTTAGGCAAATGTACCTGTAATGGATCTCTCAAGTATTTTGAATGATCCGGGAAATTCTTATCCTATAATTAATGGCTCAGATGATGATATTATATCATCTTCTGGAAATAGCAAAGTGCAACCACAAGACTCACCAGCGACTACGTTACCTGCATATGAATCAGATAACAACAAAACTGATCAATGTAGCGTCAATATGAAATCATTGAGTAGTATGTCTTTTGAATCGGCAGCCAAAGGAAGAAAATATATTAACTATGATCTAGCCGATGAAGTGTTAAAATCATATCAAATGCACATTCTTCCCGATCACAAACTAATATACAATAATGTTGATGTTATGGAATTTGCACGCTCAATCATGGAAACTACGAACAAAATTCAGATATCAAAAAATCCTTTATCCATTGGTGTCATTGATATTCACAATGTCGAATGTCTTAAATATTTGCCTCAAGGGTTCAAGAAATATATAGCAGATCAAGTGCAAAATACTGATGATTCTATATATTTTTCAGAGGGGAAATTTATCAATAAATTTTTACTGGATTGTGAAGAGGGAGTTTTAAAATATCTAGAAAAGTTTGATAACATTGATAATTTGAAGTCATTAGAAGAACGTTTAGATAAAAATAGAATCAATCATTCAACCTCGTCAAATGATCTCATTTATGTCGAAAACCTTTTCCTCCATTTCTTACTTCTGTACAAAAATGACGTACTTACACAATCACTAACGGAAACTGAATTCAATGCGTATATCTGGACCCCGATGCTAAGAAACGCTTTCCTTGGAAAGTCCGATTTGAGGTTGAAATGTGGAGAAGTGGCGTCCAGATCATACAATAAACTTAAAGAAATTTTAAATGTTGTTACTCGTGGTGGCCCCAGATTAGACGGAAAAGGATTCCTCAAGTCATTAGGTACGGAAATTCTAGCGCAGGAAGATGGAGCAATAAGTACACATAGTAAAAGGACAGGAGACCTGCAGAAATTAGAGTACTGCTCTAAAGTCATTCTTACAGCATTATTCTTTGCGTTACCTTCTCACGTGAAAGATAGAATTAAAGATCTCGAAGTTTATAGTTTACAATCAAACGAATTTCAACTCAAAATATCAACATCCAAATTTCTCTTCGAGGATACAGTTGTTACTATGGGACTTGCACGTGTTGAAATTCCAAGAACTGTGGAATGTTTTTCGAAGTTAGTAGTTGGTGTTAAAGCAATATTGTCCTGGAAAGCACGTACAAGAAAAAATACGATGTTGTTTTATGATACATTAAGAGAAGGCCATAGGCGATTGTCTGACAATGGGGTCCATTTTTCACCAATAAAAGTACCCGTATAGATTAGAAGGAATAATTTTACAAAGAATGTAATTCATATATTTTATACATTTGCATAATACAATAGAATTTTCAAATAAAATCTCCTATTATCTCACCAGTAACCGCCTAGGATGTATACATAATCCAGTTCCTAATTTTCAGATATACAACGATTTTAAATTTATCCCAG